CATTCATGGAGAGATGTCCTAATGCATGGAATTAGGATTTGTTCCTCATGAAGCGCACCTCACAGGCACATCTTGTCGTGCATTGGGAACATCTCCCGTGAATAATAACATAAGAGTACGGGAGATTCTTCCAATAGATAGCGAGTGTGCATATGAGGTTGGTGTGAGGTGTGCTCTATGAAGAAAAAATCTAGGCTCTAATGCATGATGATGTTTTCTGATTTGAGGTGTCTCAAACAGAGAACACAATCAGATAATCCTGCCAACTAGACGAAGTTGTGCGCCGAAGACATCTGCAACCACAAAAGGGTTAGAGGCCCGATGAGTTATTCCCCAATTAGCACTCTGACGCTCAAGTCAGAAAGAGAAAGGTCGGTCAGGATGAGAATGGTAGAATAGCGCTGGTTCGAAGTGATGTGATGGCAAAAGGGGTGTAGAGGTGAGTCAAGAGTCAAAAGTCCTTTACCTAGCAGGGAAGATGCCTACTTATAACCAAGCATATGTGTCGTAATCGGATTAGGCTTTCGGGGTTGCCAGGATGAGGCTTATCCACCAAGGTTTTCGAAGGGCTCTCCTTTCCTTGGTGGAGTATATCTCCTTATTTGCGTGAAGTTCTTTTTCCCTGGTGCACTCTTTCGCTATGCAGTCGCGTTCGGCGGTGTTGACATGGAGATGCGGTCCGAGGTACTCAACCACAAAGACTGATACGTGGCATCCTTCGCTAGCTCAGACACCATCTGAACACATGGCTATAATGTGTGTGAGGTTGATGTCAGGAGCAAATCCAAATTTGTATTTATCGGTGCAACCAGTTAATTTATTTACGAAATAACTAGTGAAGGGGCCCCTGCAAAACATGATGGTAAGTGGCTTGTCAAAGGTAAAATTTTTAATTAAATTTTTATCGGAAAAATATCTATTTAAAATAAATAAAAAATTATGGATAATAATATATTTAATAAAATAAAATAAAACAATAAATAAATAAACAATCATGGCCATCGGGTAATGGAGTGAAAGAGGGAGAGGTTACTTTTGTCATTGTATTTTTATTTTATATAGTGGAATAATTGTAAATAGTTAAATAATAATTAATTTAATTTAATAAATAAATCAATTTATAAAATAAATGAGATAAATAAACAATCAAGTGAGAGTATATATATATATACACGATTCTATGTCTTAATTTTCTAGCAATAATAATTTGTTAGATTGTTAAATTATTAACTAATTAAATAATTTCATAAAATAAGTAAATAAATAAACAAAACTTTATGTATTATCAACACAAGATTGGTAAATGCTATATCAAATTATTTAATTAATTAACTTAACGTTGTTAATGGGTTGGGTTGAACTATTGGGCTATCGAGCCCATGAACAGGCTTAGTCCGGATCACGGCCCGACCTGGCCTAAGACTTGGCCGGTAGCATGATACGGGCATACGTAGGCTCAGGTTAAAATAAAAATGTAAGGTTTTTGTCTATTTTTTTAATTTATGTTAAAATTTTAATTATTTTGTTCAAAAGTTTTTAAAAACATGGCTTAGCCCAGTTAGTGGCCCAACCTAGTCTAAGACTTGGCCCGCGGACCAGCCCAACCTGTGGCATGACACGGGCCCATGCAGGCTCGAGCCATATATTATATACAATAATTATATAATATATTAATATATATAATTTTGTTTTCAATTTTATTTTAATATTTCATTTTATTATTGCATATATAACCAATTGTACATGTCAAATTCATATAAGATAAAATTTTAAGATATTTTTTATTTTTTTATCTATATTTTAATTTATAAAAACATAGCTTAGCCCGACCTATGGCACGGCATGGGCCTATGGGGGCTCGGGCTAAAATAAAATTTTAAGATCTTCTTTAATTTTTTGTCTATTTTTTAATTTATGTTAAATTATTCATTTTTTTTGGAATTTTTTAAAAACATGGCTTAGCTCGGTTCATGGCTCATCCTGGCTTAAGACTTGGCCCCCGAAGCCCATGGCATGACACAGGCCCCCGGGGGCTCGGGCTATATATTATATACAATAATTATATAATATATTAATATATATAATTTTATTTTCAATTTTATTATATTATTTCATTTTATTGTTGCATATATAAACAAATTGTACACATCAAAATTCATATAAGAAAAAATTTTAAGATTTTTTTTTAATTTTTAATCTATTTTTTTAATTTATAGAAGCATGGCTTAGCCCGGCCTGGCCTAAGACTTGGCTCGCGGCATGGCACAGGCCCGCATAAGCTTGGGTCGTATATTATATAATTTTATTTTCAATTTTATTATATTATTACATATATAAACAATTGTGTACATCAAAATTCATATAAAATAAAAATTTAAGATTTTTTTTTAATTTTGTATCTATTTTTTAATTTATGTTAATTTTTTATTATTTTTTCAAGAATTTTAAAAAACATGGATTAACCTAGTTCGTGGCCCGACTTGGCCTAATACTTGGTCTGTGGCACAACATAGGCCTATGTGGGGCTGACCCCCTAAAGTATCAAAGGGAGGGAAGCACAACCCTTACAACATGACCCAATTATAAATAAAATGAGAGATAAAGACAATTTTTAACCAATATGAAAAACGTAAGAGTTCATTGGCATCATTGTAAATAATTACATGTTTAGTATCAAAAATAAAAGAGGAAAAAGAGAAAGAACACACTATGATTGTTTTTTTGTTTTATTCAATGACATCATTGTAATTAATTAAGTTTGTAATGGTAATGGTTAAAAGCATGAAAAGGGAAAGATTATAAAATTATAATATTTCATTTAGGTTAATATAAAAAACATTTGCTTTTAGGTTATACTAGCGTCATGCCCCCTGCTTCATAGGGGCTAGTGAATAGACAATTTACCAAAATAGAAAATTAAAAAAGCCAAATAAAAAAACAAATTTTGAAGCTCACATCATAAAAGAATTTTAAAAGAAAATATATAAATTAAATTGATGCAAAAAATAATATTTATATGATTTAATATTGAGAGAATAAAACCATTTTAAAAAACATATTACCTAATTACTTTATGGATATATAGAGCCACCGAAGTATCCTACAAAAAATTAACTACAAATATATATATGTATGTATGTATGTATGTATGTATATATAAGTCCTTAAAACCCATTGAAAAAGTCAAAAAACCACCCGGGCAGCAGTTTGCGTGTTATCATTTTTATTTTTGCTGATTAATAAAATAAAAAACAAAAAAAATAAAATGGCCCCCATATCCTCGATCCCACCTCTTACGTTTGGGGTTAGAACGACCCCATTTTTGTTCTAACCCTTCCCTCCTCTTAGCCCTCACACTCAACTGACCACCTGTGGCGGCCATGACCTACGACATCCGATGGCAACACACAATGACCAACGGCGACCAGCGACGATAGTGAGCTTCATTTACAGCGGCCAGTGTTGATTTTGCAGTAGGTTCAGGTGTCCACCAATAACAGTTGCGGTAGTAACAAGTTCGATGACCGACTTGCAATGGTGGCTGGCGATTTTGCAGCGGCGGGCGGGGGTTTCTAGCGGCAATAACAATTGAATAGTTGTAACAGCACTTGCAGCGACAATCACCTACGACCAAGCCCAAGCCCACCGACGGCGATTTTTGTGAGTTTAACACTATCACACCACCATTATTGGCAGTGAAACCGTGAAGGACTTGAAGGTATAAAATGCTTACTTCTTTGAATTTTTTTTGTGAGTTTAATTGATTCTTTGAATTTTTTGCTTAATTAGTTATAGAGATTCACATACTTACATTGGCTTAATTAATTTTGCTATATTTTTTTTTTTTCAATTCCTTGCTTATTTGTTATGTGAATGATGATGATGATGATCAGATGATGTCAAAGAATGATAAAATATCATTTTCTGTATTTATTTGCACTTTTCTGTTTTTTGTTTCTGTATTTTTATGTATTTATTTGCACTTTTCCGTTTTATTTTTCAGTATTTTTTCTGTATTTATTTGTAATTTTCTGTTTTATTTTTATGCATTTATTTGCACTTTTCTGTTTTTATTTCAGTATTTTTTATTTATTTGCACTTTTCTATTTTATTTTTCTGTATTTTCTGTATTTATTTACAATTTTCTGTTTTATATTTTTTTCTATATTTATTTGCACTTTTTTGTTTTTATTTCTGTTTTTATTTGCACTTTTTTGTTTTATTTTTCTGTTTTTGTTTCTATATTTTTTTCTGTATTTATTTACACTTTCCTGTTTTATTTTTTCTGTTTGTATTGTATTTTTCAGTATTTTTATGTATTTATTTGTAATTTTCTGTTTTATTTGCATTTTCTGTATTTATTTGCACTTTTTTGTTTTATTTTTCTGTTTCTGTTTTTGCATTTATTTGCACTTTTCCGTTTTCTTTTCTGTATTTCTCTATTTATTTGCAATTTTCTGTTTTATTTTTCTGTATTTTCTGTATTTATTTGCATTTATTTGTGTTTTTTCTATTTTTGTAATTTTCTGTGTTTTATGTAGTTTTTTGGATTTTTTTTTTTGTATTTTCTGCACATGTATGAGTATGAATAAACACATTTTAATTTATTTTTATTTTTTCTGTATTTTTTAATATGTTTCTGTACTTTTTTTTTATTTTCTATCTATTATGTACTTTGTTATTTTTGTATTTAGATATTTTTATTTTTCTGTATTTTTTGAATTTTTTTGTGTTTTTTTTCTGTATTTGTTTGATTTTTGCTGTATTTTATTTTTATATTTTCTATATGTTTTGTATTGTATTATTTTTGTATATAGATTGTTTTATTTTCTGCATTTTTTATTATTTATAAATATGTTTTTTTATTTTTAGTTTATTTATGACGTCACGGGTCGAACCGTTCGATCCGGACAGTTGAACCGTTTAACCGAAAACCGGTCCCCTGGCCGGTTCTGTTTACGGTTCGTTTTTAAAAACCTTGGTTAGAATGGACTCCGGATCTCCTGCCCACGGATCTCCTTCCCTCCTCTCAGCCCTCACACCCAACCGACCACCTGCGGCGGCCACGACCTACGGTGTCCGACGGCGACACGCAGCGACCGACGGCGATTCACGGAGACCGGCGACGGCGTGAGCTTCATCTACAGCGACCAGCGTTGATTTTGCAGCAGGTCCAGGCGTCCAGCAGTAACAGTTGCGGCAGTAATAGGTCCGGCGACCGACTTGCAACGGTGCCCGGCGATTTTGCAGCGGCGGGCGGGGGTTTCTAGCGGCAGTAACAGTTGCAGCAGCACTTGCAGCGGTAATCACCTGCGACCTAGCCCGAGCCCACCGGCGGCGATTTTTGCGAGTTTAACACCGTCACACCACCATTACTGGCAGTGAAACCATGAAGGAACTGAAGGTATAAAATTCTTACTTCTTTGAATTTTTTTTTACTTTAATTGATTCATTGAATTTTTTGCTTAATTCTTTGTTTAATTAATCTTGCTTAATTAATTTTTTCTGAATTCTTTGCTTAATTAATTACAGAGATTCACATACTCACATTGGCTTAATTGACTTTTTTTTTGTCAATTCCTTGCTTATTTGCTATGTGAAGGATGATGATGATCAGATGTTGAATTTTAGGGTTTTGGATTCCTTTGGACTTTCAATTTTGATGTTTGAAGCATTATAGTTATTCAGTTTCGAAGTATTAAGCAATTAATCTATATTTCTACTAAAATTCAGTTTTCTGCGTTTCCGATGAGTATATTAGAATTTAGAGTAATGCCATTGTTACTGGACGATCACTCCTTAATTTTAAGTGGATTTCATTAAATATTTGATTTGCTTCTCCTGTTATTTCTGTTCTGTCATTTGCTAATGTAAAAGGAATTGATGCTCTGTTATTCTGTGTGTTCTAAGTTTATTCCTTTTTCACTCCCTCTTGCATGTTTGGTTTTGGACTAAATCTTTTTATTTTATTGCTTCTACTTGTTTGTTTGCAAATGGTTTTCATTGATTTGTCATTTTTCTTTTGAATTGTATGTTTTCTGGACTTTGACTTCTAGTGGGTCACTTGTGACTTGTGAGAGCTTATTTGAGAGTACGCCTAGTTGATGAAGCTCGTAGGGTGTTCAATGGGATGCTCAAACCAGATTTGGTTGTGGAATTCAATGGTTTTAGGTTATGGGTCTTATGGATGTTGGAATAAGTGCTTGTAATTTTAGGAGAAAAAGCAGAAAACTGGTTTGCACAAATATCTCAAAAATAGAAGAGTCAAAAGAATTTAGGCAAATATATACACATAGACAGATATCCACATGTAACATATGAAGAGGGAGACAACTCATCTAACTACTTGTCACACCGTTGAGAAGAAATCCTATTACAGCTTCATATCATGGGCACTAGTATGTTATTCTAGTCTCACTCTGTTCATTCATATCCCACCCTTCTAACAAATTTGCTTGTTGAAGACTCTAGATTGTTAAATGTGGTTGTGGTTTGACTATGAATCACTAGTCCAACTTTGATCTGATTATTAATTGAAATCTGTTTTCAGGATTTGAGTTCAATCCAAATATGATAAATGGATGTCCAAATCTGAGATAATTGCATCAGACTCAAATTTGTCAAACTCAGACCCATTGATATAACCTTAGTTTAGAATACCTGAGGAACATTGGCCAGTCATAAAAGAATGAAATAAAATTCCTGAGGCAAACCATGTGCTTTAGGTTCATAGTTTTCAATGCTGTTTATATGATATCATTACACAGGGAACCAGGAATGTACTAGATTTACCACATGAATCCCTGTGAACCTCTTGTGGACATGATAATTTTCTTGTGAAAAAGTTAATAGTCCTCTGGTTAATTTGTTCTGGTTTTTGGATCTTGAATAATTTCATTCAAATGGATGCTTGTATGTTGCTCAATCTTGGGTAATTCAGTGGTCTTTGCTTTGACACACTGTTGTAAAATCAAGGAACTTGTTAGCATTAGCATAGAGGCTATTGCATCACTGTTAGCCTCTGGAATGGTGTGTGTTGAAGACTATGATATATTTGACTATGTGTGTGTGTGTGTGACTATGATATATTTTGGTTTGCCCAATCTTGTGTACCTTATAGAACACCAACCAAAAAATACAGGAATACAGAGATTACACAAGTAATTTCACTTCCATGCGCTTCAGCATGATAGAGTTTATGCTTTAGATCATATAAGCTTTCTAGCTAGTCCCTTGATTCTCTATTTCTGTGTGTATGTTTTTCTCTCACTGTGTGTGTATTAATCTCAGAACTGTATGCCTCAATTTTGAGTGGGATTATTTGCCAGAAATTCCTCCTGAACTAGAACATCTAAGTCTCAGTTCCAAGAGATTATTTGCAAGAAATTCCATCATCTCCTGTATTTGACGTTGAATTCTAATAAATAGATTGTCAGGCTTTTCAAAATGAATGTCTAGCGAAATCTTTGGGCATCAGCAGTCTGCTTGGAAATGTTGGCTTTCTAATATTCAGTAACTCTTTACTCATTTATCATGTTCTTCTTACCCACAGTTAATTGGTTCGAAATTTCTCAAGCTGTTGTAGAAAATGTAGACAGTTCTCATGATGGGAATGCTTATTTCATATGGTTTGGTGGTTCATACATGATACACCTCCCAGAGATGCTATAATAGCCCAAGTTTACTACTACCTTCTGAATTGATTTTCTTTTTTCTTGGACAAATATGACAATCTGGATTATGGCTAATTCCTCAATTATTTCATCCTTTTCCACCAGGACTTCTTAAGTGCATCTTGTTGCTCCTGGCAATCCACCATATTAGAAATCAATTATCTTTATGTGAGCTGTTTCTGGAGTTGTACTTTCCAAACAACAGGAATGCTTTGGTGGTAGAGTCTTATGTGGAACAGTAGAAGAAGGTGAATCAATTACCTGGATCCCACAATTTAGATTTAGAATGAACTAAAATGATTGGGAACTATTCCAGGTTTTTGATCTGCTGGGTTTGCTTTAGTTTCAAACAATTAATTCATCTCAAGGATTGCTTTTGGATACAACCTCTTCTTTCCTAGTAAACTATGTGGTTGTCTGCTGTCCTTTCGGAAGTAAAGTTTTTTACCTGGGTAGAAGCTATCTGGTTTCATCTCAAGGATTTTTGAACAAAAGAGTAACCTGGTGGAGAAGGTGATCAATGGCATAGTGGAGTCTGAGGCAAATGGTTATTGAATACTTGTGTAGCGATCTTTCCTCCTCTTTTTGGTTGTAGACATAGTTGAATACTTGGTAGTGTTCAAAATCTTTGTACAAACACATGTTTTAATTCTAATTAATACAATCTTGGTTATTGTTCATGAACTGTAAGGATCTCAGGTGGGATTTGCAGAGGCATACAATTGATATGGACATGTGATGTTATGAATGTTAATTTAATATGCTTATGACTGTCATTGAATACAATTCCTATACTTGCTGAATTTGGTTTCTCAAATTTCTTGCCCTTTTCTTTTTCCATATTGTGTTATTGATGTTGGGCCTACATGGTTGATTTGTGTTTTATTGGTGTGGGTCTTGCATGATTCCACGATATATTTTTGCTATTGAGTGTTGTATGTATACCTATTTTATTATTTTGGTTAATGAAAAAAAGAATGAGAACGAAATTTATTGGTGTGGGTCTTTCGTGGTGCAAGCTGCCTCTAAAAAGATTGTGGCCCATTTCAAGAATTTTATAGGCGGCAAACGTCGAAAGAATAAGAATACTGAACTATCCAAGGAAGGTAACTTGTCTGTTGGGGAATGGGGTGGCAACACGGCTCGTTAATGATTAAGTCGTTCAATACAATGTTTTTAAAACTGACCCGGAGGTCGATCCGGTTTTTCCACTGGGTCACGGGTCACCAGTTCGACCGGGGGTTTAGTCCGATGACATCATAATTAAAATATTAAAAAATTATATATTATATATACACATATATGTATATATACATGAATAAAACCAATATAAATATCTAGAATATTAATTCATAAATCACAGCAAAATAAATCACTAATTATACTAGAAATATATCAATAGTATCAATATTCATTCATTCAAATAGAAATTATCATTTATCTTTAGTCATAAAATTCATAAATCATAGTCCTAATTATGATTGTCATTTACTTATTTTCCTCTTCAAAATTGTTGTAAAATTCCACTTTAAACTCCAAAGTCCAAAATCAAATTTGGGTTCCAACTTTCAGCCTTCTAGGTTGCAGTTGTAGCTTAGAAATCACAGAAAATTTGAATATATATATATATATATATATATAATGTTAGAAATCACAAACAAATTTGGGTTCCAACTTCCAACTTTCAGCCTTCCAGCAAGTTAGCATTTACATTCTACACAAAACTAGAAAAAAATGAAAAATACAAAATATAAACTTAAAAGACTTACCAATAATCCACCTCTCTGAACTCTCATTATGGAGGTTTGAATGTTTGATACAGTCACCGCTCGCTGACAAGAAACAAAGCTGTGATGTAAAGAACTGGTGCCGCCCAAACCAGTGCTGCCCAAAGCCCCAAACTTGGTGGTCTAGTGTTGCCCAAACAGAGGTTGCGTTAAGAATAGTGTTGCCCAAACGTCAGGATGGCGTTTACCTTGGTGTCGCCAGCGACTGGCGATCAGATTTCGTTGATCTTCTTCAGTCGTCTGTCCCCTTCGCGGTTCATTCTCTCATATTTCTAAATATTGCATAAACCCTATATCTAGAAAAGAGAAAAGTGAGAAATAATGTAAAAAAATAAAGGGGGATCAAGTTGGGACAAGGTTTTTAAAAACGAACCGGTCAGGGGACCGGTTTCCAGTTAAGCAGTTCAACCATCCAGGTCGAACGGTTCGACCCGTGATGTCATAAATAAATAAAAAATTAAAGAGATATTTATAAATAATAAAAAATAGCATAAAATTAAATAAAAAACAGAAAAATATAGAAAATAAAACTATCTAAATACAAAAATAATACAGTACAAAACACATAGAAAATATAAAAATAAAATACAGAAAAATTCTAAAAATACAGGAAAAACACAAAAAAACTCAAAAAATACAAAAAAAATTGGTTCGTAGCAATATTTTCTCATTCTACCCATTTTTACGCACTCTTTTTCATCTTAGAAATTCATCTTGGGTAAGAATGAGAAAGAAAGTTGTGCTCTGTTCTTGGTGCGTAGTTTTCACCTGTTTATTTTGCTCGTTTAAAGAGCATGTGCATTAGGTTTTCTACTTATTGTTCTTTGGGCTGGTTATTTGAATTCAGGTCTTGTAGAAAACTGAAGTTAATTCTAATTCCTAACTACTTATTGGAAAAGAAAATATCAAGACCTAATTCAATAGATTATTTAGCTCTGTGAAACCCTCAATCTTGTTAAGGATGTAGTCTGTTATGATTTAGACTAAAGGTGATAAATTTGGAGAAGCATATGCAGAAGCAAGCCTCCAGGATCCTTACATCCCGTGTCTCAACTGTTGAGTAAGAACCAATAATTCTCCAGGATAATTAATTTCTATTTATGTTCCTTTTTTAGCATTGTCCTTAAAATCTTCCAATTTCCTTTTTTTATATCTATTAATGTCAACTATTAATATTGAAAAATAGACCTCACTGTGTTTGTTGTTGTTGATGTGGAGTGTTGGTAGTTTTCCTGAAATTGTTTCTGTAACATCTGGTTATCTAAAGTGGTTCATTGTTTGTTTGTTGAAGTTCGTATGTGAAAAGTGATTAATGTGTTGGTTTCTGGAGTTTAGAGGACCACCATACATGACATAGTTGTCTAGATGTAAAGCTAGGCTAGACAACAGGGGAGCGCCTTGTTGTTTTAATATAATCTGCTTATCTTAGCTTGTTTCTCTAGCTTTTTTGTGGGTAGCTTGCTTCCCTAGTTCATGTAGCAATGACCAAACATTAAAAATGATCTGAAATGAACAAATTAAATTAAAAGTAGAATACAACAACATTAGATAGTCTTTGAAAATAAGATACTTAGAGAGGGTTAGGCCTTCTTCTATTAGTGTGAGGAGATATAAATAGAATATTTATGCGTTTGTGTGTGTGATAAATCAAAGAATGGAGAAACAAACAAACAAACAAATAAAGGCATGAATATGATTCTTCTATGTTGAATTCAGTAAAAATGTGAGAGTTTTGTGTGAATTGCAAAGAAAAACAACAATGGGGGTTTTCACAATTGGAAAGACAGGGGGTGTAATTAGAAAAGGAAAAAAACATACAAAAAGATAGAGTTCCTAATTTGACATAAATAGATGATGTTGTACTTTGTTTACAGAAAGAAGTAGAAAGAATAGGCTTCTTTTGAGGAATACCATGATGAAGCCTACTATTTAAACCCCTACTACAATGAATATATTACTTTCCATTTCCATTCTGGTTTCAGTGGTTTGCCCCAAACTCATATTATGGGTTTCCACATTGAGAACTGATTTCTTATAATGTCTTTTTACACTGTTTCATCCTTCTCTATACAATACAATGTAGTTTAGCTGCACTACACCTAAAATTTCTATGCTACCTATACAAAAATACCAAGGCTAGGCAGAGGGTACCCCAAAAAATGCCTTATCGCTTAGGTGCGTGCAACTTATCAGTCTTGTAAATGTCCCTTTATCTCTGTTAGTTGATTGTTAGCAGAAAATCTTTTGGTAGAAATTGGTAAAGAGACCTTTTAGGGTCTGTTTGGTTCGCAGTTGGAATCGGAATCCTCTGGAATCGGAATCGGAATGGTCCATTCCCATAGTATGTTTGGTTCAGACAGGAATGAGAATGGAAATTGGAATCAGCAGGAATAGTTCATTCCCAAGGGAGGGGCAGGGAATGACTATTCCCTCAAACGGGGGAATGCCATTCCAGCAGGAATGGGAATGGGATTCCAATTCCACCCAACCAAACAGTTGGAATCGGAATAGCCCATTCCGATTCTGATTCCAGACCCCTATTCCCAATTCCACGAACCAAATGGGGCCTTAATTGCTAACTGAAATTCATTTTTTATAAATCTAAGTAAATGTCATTTGTGCAGAATTGATTTAAACAGGTGTGGATAAGCTTCTATTTCAAGAATTTGGAACAATCTCTGGATGTGAGCATGGATATTTTTCAGGACTCTTGGAGGTATGTATTGTTCATATTGCATTTGGTTACAAAACCAGAAGCATTGAATTGAATGGCCTGGCTTGTAATTTGTTTCTTAGGCCAGTCCATAACCAAGTCAAAGAGGGATATGGATGGTGCATAGGAAGGAAATAGAGTCTGAATACTATGTACACTAGAATGACTCCTGGGTTCTCACTTGAATATCAAATTCTTGATTAGTATAAATTAACTCCATTGCAAGAAATCACTGTAGATCATTTAAAATAAGCTTAAACTTTTTTTTTTTTGATCACTAACAGAACTGTATTCAAAAAAGGAATTACGGAAGTACAAAAAGGAGAGGTAAACTCTCTTAACTCTCCCCAAATCATATGCAGAAAAAGGAAAATTACAACATAGCCCAAAACATATGATTCCTTCCCACTCCCTGTGTAGCCAATGCATCAGCAAAGCAGTTAGCATCTCTCTTAAACTTGAGATCAATATTTAACCATTTGGAGGCATGAGGTGAGGTGAAAGGACCTTTAGATGCGTGAGGCGTAACTCTCGATGCATTTTTCTTAAGCCTCATGGTACCAATTGTTTTTAGAAAAAATATCTATTAAAATGAGAAGTACAGAAACATACATAAGATTATTTTTTGGTAAATAGAAATATACATAAGGTTAGTATATCTTTTATGTAGGAAAAACATACAGAAAAGGGAATGATGATATAAACAAAGGATTTGATAATATTATGAGTTTTATAGAAAAGAACCACATTCTTACAAACCATTCAATAACTATTAAGGAGCTTTAAATGTAAAATAGTACATCAAAATGGGTTTAAATATGTTAGAGTAGACCAGAGCGCCTGTATATGTGCAAATATATATTGTATACAAACACACACCTAAGGCATTTCAAGGTGTTAAGAGTGTGCTTTATATTTGGGCATGATCAGGTTCATTTTCTTGAACACATCATTGTAGGAGGCTTTAGATCCTTCATTCCCATTCTTTATCCGGGTTCTAAGAAAAACCATCATCCTGGCTATCCAGGGTCATGTGAGGGGTGAACTGGATGTGGATCTAACCTGCAGCATCTTTTACACGAAGTGGCTGCTTTCAAACTTGAACTCACATGCTCATGCTTGGTAGCTTGACATTGTACCATGGCACCAAGCAATGACCCCTATTCTCTATTTGGATTTTATTGTTTGCCAAGTGACCAGGGAAGGAATAGTTAGTGGACATATGTGGAATTTTCTGCATGCACTTGTTGCAAGATGCCAATATGATAACTTGTCTCTTACCAACAAGGTTATTCATGCATTGGGTGGATCCAAACCAAGGTTCCAGAATTTAGGCTTCAGAAATCTAGTTATTTTGATTCTTGACTAGGGTCTAAAAAGTTCTATAATTGATCTGTCTTCTGTCATGCTTCCCAAATTGAGACCAGGGATGGGGAGGGCAGAGTGGTGGCACTATATTCTGGTCCCATAGGAGTGGGAGACTCTCTCAGCTGAAATTTTGGCTCTCCTACAAGGCCTGAGATTTTCCAAGCAATGAGGATTTCAGAACTTTGAGGTGTAAGGGGACTCTAAACTGTTAATAGGGATGCTGGAGTAACTTTTAAATGGGTAAGGAGGTCAGCCAACTCTGTGGCAGATAGTTAGGCAAAGCAGGGGACCTTCAGGAAAAACTTCTTTTGGGCTGTATTGTAATTCTTGAAACTGATTGGGGTCAACACTCATATTTTGAGTGGTTGACAGTGTATGATGTTTAATTGGTATCTTTAATGAAAGTTACCATTTCCAATAAAAAATGCTTCACAAATTGAGACACTCAAACCTTGTCAGGTGTAGTCTATGGTGCTTGACTATTAAGCAACTTAGTTTATCTAATTAATTAGGACTCTACATGAGTCTTAAAGTAGCAAGTTCAGTGTGAGGCTCATTATTAGAGTGGTCGCTCTCAGACTGGAACCCACATTCTCACACTTGTCAACTTGATATTTTACCATTGCACCAAATAATGACACCTTTTATCAGTTTATTCTTTGTATTGCCTTTTTAGAGGCATAAAGTATGAGTCATGCTCCTCTTAGCACTTCCTGATGCACATTATTGAGGTGACCCTGTTATTTGAAGTGGACATCTCCCCTAATTTCCTAGACTTCCGTTTCTGGAAACCTCACCCTATATGCGAATTCTCCTCCAATTCTTTCTTCAAGGTTCTGGTTGCAGAGGAGCAGAATTATCACTTCCCTTTCAAGAAGGTCTGGTGCAACTACATCCCCTCTAGAGTGTATTTCTTTGTATGGGAGGCCTGTCTGCACAGGATAAACACTAGTGAGCTATTGTAAAAGAAGAATTTTGTCAGACTTTTCAACTCCCCTCATGTTTGCATCCTTTGCCTGAGAGAAGGGGAATCAACTGACTATCTCTTCATTCACTGTCAGAAAACCAGGGACATGTGGAGCCATTTTCTACAGCTTGCTGGGTTGCTCCAAACCACCTCCAGGACTTGCTCCATCAATGGCAAGGCAAAGGACCGAGTAAAAGAGGTAAGGTATATTGGCAAATAATTCTGCATGCTGTACTTTGGGGGGTTTGGGAAGAAAGGAACAACCACTTGTTTGAGAACAAGGCTAAGACAAAGACTGATCTGAATATCTGATCTCTCACATTACCTATCTATGTAATCAGTGGGCTTCCAGCTCAGACAAGTTTAAAGGAGTCTCTATAAATGACCTAAACAGGGATGCTGGTTTTTTTCCTTTTCTCATCCCCTCTCACCCCCTCTTCCCCTTCCACAGGGCCCCCCTTACCCAGGAGGGAAGGAACTTGGACTCTAAGTTTCGATGGAAGTGCTGGTATTGGAGGAGTATTAAGGGATCAAAATGGGAACACTTGCTGGGTGCAGTGATTTAAAAGGCATGCCTCAGGTGCGCCTAGGTGCACAGGCGAGGCGCATTTTGGGGTATGCACCTTGCGCCTCAGGCACAAATTGGCCCTTGCGCTTTTAAAACACTGTCTGGGTGTACAGTGGGTCAATAGGTATTAGCTGACTCTACAAAGGCAGAAGTGATGGCTGCACTTACAGGAATCCAATTAATCAGCATACTGGGCAATCAGCATCTATCCATAGAGGGAGACTCAGCAACCACTATAAAGTGGTTAGGAAGATAGGAGGCTGGGCTGTGGAGACTCAGTCATTTTCTGACAGAGGCAAGGGATCTACTGGCAGCTACAAACGTACACCTATGCTGAATTCCAAGGGATCTTAATGCTCTTGCAGATGGGTTAGCAAAATTAGGTGCTCTTTTAGAAGTGCTGTACTGTAATAAGATCCCTCCTGCATAATTTTCAGGGGTCTGATCCCCGTTTGTTTGTCTTTTTTGTACACGCTCTTGTGTACCCCTCTCTTTTCTTAATAAACTCAGTGAACTTTTCTCAAAAAAAAAAAAAAAAATCATCACATGACACCAATTCCTTTTTTAAATTGTCTATATGACATTTTCAAATTTGGCCTGTATTTGTTTTAAAATTATTTATTTTATTCTTACAAGCATTACCAAAAAGAACTACTTATTACTTATTAGTCTAAGTGGTTATTGAAAATTTATATTTACCTCAAAAAGTAGCAATATGGATTAGTTGCACAGTTTAATTTTAAATGTAAATAAAAAAGAAAATGTAGCTATTAGTTATCAAAATTTTAAAATATATCTAAAATATAATTATTATAATATTTATGTTTATATACAAACTAAGTTGTGAAGAAAGTATGTAAAATTCCTAAAATAAGTGTAAATTATGAAAGAAAAAGAAAGAAATTATGTTACTCTGCTAGTAAACTAATGCTGCCAATGCAACAAATGAAATAAGATTGTCATTTTTTATGTATTAATTTTCATTTTTGAAAAAGGTAAAGTACTTTTGTAAAATTGTTTTATATGTGGCATATGTCAAAAAGTATACAAGTATATCTTATGAGAACCTGATGTATGGTAAGCATCTAGCTATAAAATTACAACCTATTTTCAGCTTTGAGCAAAAAAGAAACTCATGTGATTAAAACAAGGATTGAAATACATCCCTAAAAGCATTTGTCTCTGACAGCCAAGAGAAAAAGGTTGCTATTTGCTTTCCTTCAAATTTCCTTCTCTTTGCAATTCCTTGTTTCCAAAAATCCTCAAACTCCTCCTGGTCCATAGAGTCCATCTTAAGAAAGTGGAGATGATACTCCATGTCGTGCTGATCTTTTTTTGCCCAAACCTTTAATGGGCTATTCTGCTAGTATCTCCACAAAAGATTTAAGAAAGAACTAATTGGGATCAGTGATTTAAAAGGCGTGCCTAGGCGCACAGGCGAGGCGCATTTTGGGGTATGCGCCTCGCCTAGGTCCTAGACTCACCTCTTTCAAAAGGCGCGCGCTTGGTGTGCCTGATGTGCCTTGCGCCTTGCGCCTTAGCCCAGGCGTGCGCCTTTTTAAAATTTTGCGCTTTTTGCTGTTTTTTGAGTCTAACGGCTGGGCCAGGGGCTTCGAGAACCCCTATTTGCTTATGTTGTTCATTCATTCATTGTAATAAAATATCTTCTTAAAAGGCAATGAAAGTTGTAAAATCATTATTTTTTATGTGAGAAATAAGAATTTCAGACCCTAACATAGACTTGCTCGGGCTTGCCTCGAGGGGCGTGCTACAAATGCGACTCATAGAATCAAGAATGCAATATGTTTTACATCACATTAACTACTTGAAGCAATGCAATTAAGGGAAAAAAGAGATTGTGGGTTTTACATGCTTGAAAATGCTTTATATTTTTTTTTGATCAATAACACTTTCATTAATTCATCAGTAGAAAATTTACAAGTGAAAGACAAACACACTTATCTTCCAAGAGTCACAAAG